AACAAGTAGGAGATGATTATCTCCATTGAATATTGTTAGTAGCCTCACAATTCACCGCGGTTCAAATGGGATCGAAGGTACTGGTTGACAGAAATTGACTCAGAGATGTAACATTAGTGCATCCGCCCAGGCTTTGAATATTTGAGGTAAAAACCACTGAACGATACAAAACTAGGAACTAGAAGTTACACAATGACGCCTAGTCTCAAGTTATTCTTCATCTGTTGAGTCTCTCAAAATAGAGAACTTCATGGTTCTAAATGAATCATAATTATGGATTTAACAGAATTATCTTCACGACATATTGTGCAATTTGTAGCATGATTTTTTCGTGTCTAACGGTGTAGATGTGTCGTGAATGACAACATTTTCATTTCTTACACACATTTTGTACTTCTCAAATACTTTCAATTATATAATAAAGTTTTCTATACGTTACCACTGATAGATCCCGCGCATTTAAGGATATTGTTTTGTAGATTGATGTAAAGATGGCTTTCGTTAGAGACTGAGTGTATCTAGACAAATTTTGAGAAACAGTGAGCATCAAACAGCTGTTGTGTTGTAGTATCTGACTCCAAAGTAGTGCAATAACGACTTTTGAGACGACCATACATGGATCTTCCAGATCTCGCAGATGACGTGACTGCTTTGTACCAGTCGGTAACCATCGACAAAAGTATTCAACCCCAAGTCACGATAGATTCGGTAACAATCAACAACCAATGGTGGTAAATGTCTAAGATCGGACGTGGTTAAGATTTACCGGTCTAAAAATCGTTACCAGAATATAGAAATTCAGTCTTAACCTAAACACCAGCAGAATGGAAAGAATTATTGCTTTCTACTGAAGACTTGACCTTCACTGCTACCTTGACGTGGTGGTCGGGCTTGCCTATCGTGATCACCCAACCGAGATATACTGGCTGGAACATGTTCCTGAAGGTTCTACCTTGCCAGGCAGGTCGATTGGAGAACGATGAGACTAAAAGCAGCTACTCAAGTTCTGAGGGCGAAATCGTGCTGCTGACTGCAGAGGTGTGTGACAGTATTAAGGTGTTTCCCTCAGACAACCAGCATCTGCAGCGATGCTGCCTTCTGACAAGGAAGGAAGGGTTAGAAAAGGTCGACCCTTAAAATGTCACACCTCACCCTACCTCACGGATTTCCGTCTCCTTGGGTAAGGGCTGCCCACTAAGGGCTTTTAAAAAGAGCGGAGCTAACACTTCAAAAACCCCTCTTAAAAAGGCTGTGCGTGACTTTGTACCTTACTGGATGCAAGAAAAATATCGCTAGGAAACCTGTTACTCCTCTACCTAATGATAGCATAGCTAAGAATATATTTCAGGAACAACTAAAAAAACAGTTAGGCGACCATGTAAGTGATTCCCGTCCGGAGGCAGTCTGGAATGATATCAAGAATGCTGTGGAAACAGCAGTTATATGTTTTTGTAAGGTAAACCATAAGGTTAGGAAGAAGCTGTGGATCTCAGTAGCATCTACCGAACTGATGGATGCTCGAAAACTTATCCCGCCTGGCTTTGAACATGATTAAGAACGAAGTCAGCTTAGGCGCAGGCTGATAAAAAGACTACGCAACGACCGTGAACAGTGGTGGGTGGCGAAAGCAAAAGCGATGGAAAAGCCAGCGTCGATCGGCAACAGTAGACAACTTTTCCGACTTATCAAGGAAACTGGTATTAGGAATCCTAGTGTAAGTGAGACTATCTCAGAAAAGGATGGCTGTATCATTTATTATTAATCCAGGAGACTGGATCGATGGGCAGAACACTTCAGGGATCAGTTCAACTGGCCCCGAGCCACTCTTCGGTTACCCACGATCTCCAGTCATCCTGAATGGCAAATCGAACTAAGTCCCCCTAGTCTTAATGACGTTGAAAAAGCGTTAGGAAATCTGAAACGAGGACGAGCTGCAGGTCCTGATAGATTGACCTCTGAGACTTTTAAAGATGGTGGTCCAGTTTTATCAGCTAGGTTGACTGAGATCTTAGGTACAATCTGGTACTGGACATAATCCCATCCGACTGGTCTCAATCACTGATTGTCCCAATTTATAAGAATGGACAAAAGTCTTCTTGCGATAATCACAGGGGAATCAGTCTAACTAATATAGTTTCTAAATTGTTAGCCTCGATTATACTTAGACGCCTTACTAGTGCTCGTGAAGAGCAGACTAGAGAAAACCGGTCTGGTTTCAGACCTGGACGTGGATGTATAGACCATATCTTCACACCACGACAGGTCCCGGAACACAGGCATACATTTAGGTGTCCTACAATATTTGTCTTCCTGGACCTTAAGCCGGCATTCGACTCTGTCGATCGTGAGGTTTTGTGGCAGTGTCTGTCATCGAAAGGTGTACCAAAGAAGTACATTAACCTTATACAAGCTCTTTACTCGAACACTACTGGTCGAGTGAGAGCTTATGGCGAACTGTCACCGGAATTCTCTACATCAAGTGGTGTCCGTCAGGGATGTCCACTTTCTCCATTCTTGTTGAATTTTATCATAGACATGCTCCTAGAAATAACCTTATCCTCGTCTGAATTTTCTGGAGTAGACCTTCTACCAAGTGGCTCGCTAATTGACTTAGAATATGCCGATGTCATTGTCCTACTAGGTGAAGATGCTGACAAAATGCAGAGTCTTCTGACTACCCTGAGCAACAATGCAAGCATGTTCGGGATGCGGTTTTCCCCCTCAAAATGCAAAATGTTGATTCAAGACTGGGTTGCATCGGCACCTGAACTAGTGATAGGGAGTGAAGTAGTCGAACGTGTAGACCGCTTCACTTATCTTGGGAGTCTCATCAGTGCCGATGGCTTGGTGACTGACGAAATCTTAGCTCGGATACAGAAGGCTCGATTGGCTTTTGCCAACCTGCGTCACTTATGGCGTAGGCGAGATATCCGTTTGCTGACTAAAGGACGAGTGTACTGCGCAGTAGTTCGCTCCGTTCTCCTATATGGCTGTGAAACATTGCCTGTCGTAGTAGAAGATATTTGTAGGTAACCTTTGTTCGATCACAGGTTTCTCCGAAGCATTGCTCGTTTATTCCGGGACAACCGAGTGAGCAATGCTGTCGTTAGGAAACGAGTACTAGGTAGGGATGGCAGATCAATAGACGAAGTATTGCAACTTCAACAGTTGGGGTGATTGGGACATGTGCTGCATATGGCTAACCACCGACTGCTTCGACGAGCTTTGTTTTGTAGTGTAGAAGTAGATTGGACGAATGCTAGGTCCGCGAGACGAAAGTAACCGATGGCTAGAGACTTTGAACGATGCAGCTCAAATTTTTTTGCAATGGCGCAGCCTTTAGAGTTGTGACACGTCATCAAGACACACACACACACACTGAAACTACTTGAAGCTATCTTGATTGGTCGAAAAGTCCAACTTTGTGTTCAAAAACAACTGTATGTTGACCTTTGTTTACCATGGTATTAAGTGCGTGAATGTCATACTAAATAAAAAATTTTGACCTTATCTTCAAAACTGCATTTACACAAATAACATGTTGCTTGTATGTGACTGACGAGAAAGCACGAAATGGTACTATCTCACAAAATATGTCTTCTCATTTCTCTATTCAAATTTATCAAAGGGGACACCACTGTTTTGAATTTAGTTATATCTGACAAAAATATTTAAAAGTTACTTAATCCTAACATCTAGATTATTTGCAATAATACAAGATCAAAAACTGACAAATTAAATTGCTTTAGTTGAAGCAGATTAGAGTCAGATAATCCTGAATATTAGACAAGAAACATTGATGTCAAAGCCAATATTCATTATTCTTCATAATCAATCCAAGTTGGAATGAATAAAATTTCTTTAATTAAACATCTTGTTTTGTCACAATAATTTAATTGGTTATATGTTTGTTGACTTATCGATCTGACAAAAATATTAAATTTGATTTTTAATAAGAGATTATGAGTACAGAAATTGATGATGGTTCAATTCGAAAATACATCACATAATCGCCTAATTTTAGTTAGACAATCACTGAGAACTAGAAACTTCTGGATAACCTTGTGACCTCAGCAGTACCTATTAACAAGAGCATACAATATCGAAGGATCCGCTAGTGCCCCTTTAGACTATTAACTTGACACAACGGTCAAATTCGAGAAAAAATTTATTCATTCGAGTCAAGACTTAATAATAAATATTTCATGAGTTCAATCAATTCAATGTTATACTGAAGTACATGATTCAAAGTCATCGATAGATAATTATTTCTTTTCTAACTGTCGAATCAAATGATCCAATCGGTTATGGCTTTTCATTTGAACAACAAAAAGTAGGTGCATAGAACGGCATACTGTACAGATAGTTTAAAATTATTAGGAATATAATCAGGGTTTACTTTAAAATTATCGACGGAATGAAATGACTAAAAATCATTTGCAATATGCTGCAGTTGTGTTCGCTCAAATCCTAATCTTTTGAATTCCTGATCACATTTAATAGTGACTTTTAAAGATAAACATTCAAATTTTTATCCATTTCATTTGATTACTACACATCGGAAAAGGATTCTGTTAACTACTTGCAAATATATTACACGGTAATCGATTTACTCGACCTACAACTACTGATAACGCATGTGAAAAACTCACTCTACCTATACAGATGCATTCATTCTTTGTGTTCTGTCAAATCCTAACCTTCAGAGTACCTCAGCATCTTTTTTCTTTTTAAGTTTATTTCACTAGATTCTACTTCTTGAATAATAATATCATCGAACCCTAATCTCTCCGATTACTCCTAATACTTCGACTAACCTTTACTATTATGGGATTTCAATTGACAATTGCATCTTTGTGCTAATGTGGTGGTATGGCAACTTTGAACTAATGTACGGTACGTACATTGTTGACTGACTGACTGACTGCTATTATACATTTTCCAGTTTACATATAATAAATAAAGAAACACACACACACAAATCATAAAGGAAAGTTTCATTTCATTACCACTAATTATTATTATTATTAGTGATGAAATTGGTTGATGTTTCTTTTTAAAAAGAGCAGCATAATAAATAACAGCAGCATGAAAAATGAAAGTGACAAAAACATTGGAAAAACAAACAATACAATACAATACAATGTGAAATGCGTTGAAGGCAACAATGACACAATAATAAGAGTATAAAAAAAAAGATAGAAAATTCAGGAAATGGTAGTAGTTAGTAGTAGTAGTAGTAGTACTAGTAGTAAACAACAAATAAAACATTTCATTTATATATATGCATACGCATATGTAGTTGTAACTATTATTATTATTATTATTATTATTATTATTATTATTACTATTATTATTATTATTATCACTATTATCATGTATGCGCAATGAAAAGAATTTCATGTACCTAACAATTTTCATTCACAATTAGAAAATATAATAATAATCATAATCATAATAATAATGATAATGATAATAATACATATCGATATACAGTAGACACACACAAATCGATTGTCGTCATAGAACAACAACAACAACAACACTCCAAGGAGCGACAATGCACAACACAATATGGAGAGTGAATTTTCTGCAAAAAAGAATAAATTAGAGAGAAAAAACAGGATAACAATCTGTTTCAAAGAAAACATGATAAACTAGTAGTCAGTCAGTCAGATGCAACGTACAACTTCGTACGTAAGTACATCAGTTCATGTTGCCATACCACATCAGCACAGAGATATTATAATTGTCAATTCAAATCCAATAGTAGAAGAGGTAGTAAGGGTATTAAAAGATATTATTAAAGAAGTATGATTCAGTGAGAAAAGTTTAGAAAGTCATAACTAGAGGTGTTGAAGAATCCAGAAGATTAGGATTTGAGAGAGCTCAAAGAATAGATGCACTTGCGCCATTGCGAACGATTTTGAGCCATGTCATTCAAAATCGTTCGCAATGGCACCGGTGCATTTATTCTTTATGTTCTCTCAAATCCTAATCTTCTGGATTCTTCAACCCCTCTAGTTTTGACTTTCTAAACTTTTCTCACTGAATCATACTTCTTGAATAATATCTTCTAATCCTAATCTCTCCGATTACTTCTAATTCCCTTACTACCTCTACTACTATTGGATTTGAATTGACAATTATATCTCTGTGCTGATGTGGTATGGCAACATGAACTGATGTACTTACGTACGAAGTTGTACGTTGCATCTGACTGACTGACTACTAGTTTATCATGATAAACTAGTAAGACAAAAATAGAGATAGGAAACTCTGATGATTGACCTAGGTTTTGTGCTAGTTGGTATTGGTCACACAATAAGAGAGATGTATCCGTAATCTTAGGTGAGCTGACGCTCTCTTTGTGGAATACTAATTCGCACTGTTTGACTTTAAAGTTTGAGCAATATGGATTGGAAATGACCGCCGGCAAGAGTGACATATATATATAAAATGGATAAACCACTAGTTAGTGAGTGATTAGTGTCATATTATTAATTCAGTCTGCACACATACACAGTAGTTTTGATTCATACTTAAAAGACTAGACGACAATTGTGATAATCGTCATTAATCATCATTAACTAACTAATTAGAAATAATAATGCCTTAGATTCTTCAGATATTGGGATTTATATTGGCAGTTGTTTTAATTACGATAATTAGATGGTATTGTTATCTCTAGAGCTACAAGTTTTAATCGTGAATTTTTGAGTCAATCTAGACATCTGTAATAATTCTAGAAGCCTGTTAAAACCTTGAGGTTAAATATTTCGCAACTGAGATTCTTGTGTCAGATAGTTTTTACGATTGATAAATTTGACAACTGTAATAAATAGCCTAAAGGGAATTCACACTTGATTCATTTAAACAGGTGCTTATTTTAGCGCTCAACATATTTAATATTCAAAAAAAGATGTCGTAACAGCAGAACTGGTCGGAGAGCTGCATGGATTTATGTAAATATATACATATATGGAAGGTGGGATGGAATATTAAAATGTAACTCATTCATGAGATACTTGAGGGGTATGAGCTAATGATAGTCCTTGATTGCCTAAACCCGAAGTAGATGGAATGAGGGTCCAAGCATATAATTTAGTGGCTGAAAGTCAAAAAACCTTAACCACCCAGCTACCAACCCAACACTATTGTTAGCGTTCAAGACTAAATAATTCATTCGAAATATTAAAATATCCATGGGCATAAGGTGTCATCATCATCTCACTGATAAATATTTCAAAGTTATAATTGGAAAAATCACTCACCTAATAATATACTATTATTCAGCATGCACTCGAAGTCGTCGTCCTTCAAACATTTTACCATTAAAAGTATCTATTCAAAGGAAAAAGAATAGATATTCAAATAAAAATGGATTGTTCATTTGTTTTTATCTCATTCTCTTTTTTTTGAGTTTCTTTCATTAGATTCTACTTCTTGAATAGTATTGTCGAACCCTAATCTCTTCGATTACTTACTTACTTACGCCTCTTACCCCAGATGGAGCATATGCCGCCGCCCACCAGTTTTCTCCAACCAACTCTGTCCTGGGCTTCTCTTTGCAGTTCTTTCCAGTTTTTGTTCATTCTTCTCATGTCTTTCTCTATTTCTCGGCGTAGTGTGTTCCTTGGCCTTCCTCTTTTCCTTTTACCTTGAGGGTTCCATGTGAGGGCTTGTCTTGTGACGCAGTTGGGTGCTTTTCGCAGTATGTGTCCTATCCTCCTCTACTAGAATCTGGTTTGTTCTCTTCCAAAGTACGTTGTTGCTGATAGTGTCTGGCCAACGAATCTGAAGTATTTTGCGAAGACAACTGTTCGTAAATACTTGTATTTTCTGGATGATGGCTTTCGTAGCTTTCGAAATCTCCGCTCCATACAGTAGATTTGAGATTTGTATTGAAAATTCTGATTTTGGTGTTGATGGATATTTGTTTGGAGTTCCAGATATTTTTCAACTGTAAAAATGCAACCCTTGCTTTGCCGATCCGCGCCCTCACATGTGTATCCGATCTACCTTGGTTATCGACGATGCTGCCAAGACATGTAAAGGTCTTAGCGTCCTCCAAGGCATCTCCATCAAGAGTGATTTGGTTGACGCATGTTGTGTTGCATCGGAGAATTTTACTTTTTCCTTTATGTATGTTGAGACCTACTGCTGCAGAGGCTGCTGCTACACTCGTCGTCTTCTCTGGCATTTGTTGTTACGTGTGCGATAGAAGAGCCAAATCATCTACGAAGTCCAGATCGTCCAGCTGCGTCCTAGCTGTCCATTGAATACAGTTCTTCCCTCCAGATGTCGACGTCTTCATAATCCAGTCGATGACCAGGAGAAAGAGAAAGGGTGAGAGTAAGCAACCTTGCCCCACACCAGTCTTCACCTCAAACGAGTCTATCAGGTGACCTCCGCGTACGATTTCGCAGTTGAATCCATCATAAGAATTCCGTATGATGTTAAATATTTTCTCAGGCACGCCGTAGTGTCGAAGAAGCCTCCATAGTGTTTTCTTGTCCAAGCTATCGAATGCTTTCTCGTAGTCAATGAAGTTGATGTAGAGTGGTGAGTTCCATTCGATTACTGCTAATACATTTGCTAATTCGACTACTATGTGGTTTGAATCGACAAGTACATCTCTGAGCTAATGTGGTATGACAACTTGAACTGATGTACGTACGTATGTACGAAGTTCTACGTTGCTGTTGATTGATTGAAGTGATTACATTATTATTTATATATATTCCTTGTATCCTAGACTTCAGATTAATTCATTAACTACTGTTTGTATGATTTGTTTACCTTAAACTATTGTCAGTTTATTATCCTCAGTTTCTCATGTTCGAAGTTACTTTTTGGTAAATTCATGTATAATTATTGTTTTTTATTTATCGGTGTGATATGGTCTAGTAAGCTTGTATATAAACCATGTATGTTTGAAATATATGAGTATAATTAATTATTGAAGGCTGTTGTGGACTTCTGGACTCAATTGGCCGAGTAGGGAGAGAATTCTGAATTAGTGAGAACTTGGCTATTACCAGGGGGTTATTACTGCGTAAGTGTATCCTGATTAGTGTTAGGTTTGTGTCTCGTGGTGATTGACAATGGTGACAGACAAGACACTTCCAGAGCCTTTGGTCTAAAGGTTTAATCCACGAAGAAGTAAAGCAGAGCTAGGAGATGCAATACCAAGATTAGTCAGTCAGTCAGTCAGTAACAACGTAAAACTTGGTACGTACGTACACCAAAGTTAGGTTCATCGCTAGTTATTTCCTCAGTATAGTACAAACTATGTGCACCATTGACTTGGAACTAGGGTTTCTCAACTCCCCTAGATGGATCTACTGTACACATCAGCAGTGATGTTTAAGTGCCGAACATTTACTTTTCGTCCCCTCACTTTTTTAAACAACACCCAGGTCACGAGAATGCAGTAAGACACAAGCGCACGAATATACACAATATCACGCTGTAATCTAGACACATAACAGATTAATAAATTAGGTCCTAACATACAAACCATGCACAATTAAGTTTATCGTCAACAACTAACCTATCGCACGATAAATACCATCAACATCTGCATAGGTGAGAAATGCGATTCCTTGCGAGCGGCCTTGAGAATCAGTTACCAGATTACAAGCGTTTAAATCTCCAACTTCCCTGAATATTCGTTTCACATCATGTGCATCAAATGAGAATGGAAGCTGAAAATAGATAGTATAAACAAGAATTTCTAAGTGACATACTAGTTATTTGATAGCATCATTTGTGTTGGAAATTACGAGAAACTAGATATTCTATTAGAATAAATTAAATAAAAACAGAGATGTTTTACAAACAATCTTAAAATCTGTTATGATATTCATTCCTGTGTGTGGTAGTAACGTGAAAGTGATTGAATCACAGTCAATGTGGATACACAACTCTCTTATCTGTCAAATACAGATCTATCCTTCAGGTAACTTAGTAGTCTAAGCACGTGTGATTTGCAATTAATAGGTTTGGACTCTCTTCTCCCCACACAATAACAATCAGTTAATCAACAGCAACGTAGAACTTCGTACGAATGCCTAACCACCGATTGCCTCGACCAGCTGTGTTTTGGGTTGTAGGAGTAGATTGGAAGAAAGCTAGGGGCGGCCAGACCAAAACATGGCACAAATCCATGAAGTCACTGACAAGTGGATTGAGTCATGTTGGTAGATGTAGACTACCTTGTTGGGGTTGGCGAGACAAAGGTCACCAATGGTTAGAGACCTTGAACAACATGGCTCAGAATCGTTTGCAATGGCGCAAGTGCATCCATTCGTTGTGCTCTCTCAAATCCTAATCTTCTGGATTCGTCAGCACCCCTACCCTTGTCTTTCTAAATTATCTCACTGATTTATACTTCTCGAATAATATCTTCAAACCCAAGTCTTCTTCATTACCATTAATACCTCTACTATCTTTATCACCATGAGATTCGATTTGACATTTGCGTCTCTGTGGTATAGCAACATGAAGTTATGCACATACGTACGAAGTTCTACGTTGCAACTCACTGACTGACTGAGAACTTCGTACGTACGTACGTACATGAATTCAACTTGCCATACCGCATTAGCACACAGAGATCGAATTGTCAATATAAATCCCGTAGTAGTACATGTAATAGAAGTATAAGCAGTAATCGGAAAGATGAGGTTCCGAAGATATGATTCGTGAAGTATAATCCAGTGAAATAAATTTAAATGGAGAAATAAAAAGGCGATGAGGAATTTAGCAGATTAGAATTTGAGAGTAGACAATGAGTGGATGCATCTGTGCCAGTGTAAACGATTTTAAACCATGTCATTTAGAGTCTCTTACCATCGGTTACCATCATCTAGCGGACTCCAACCCGGCAGTTTACACTGACGCGCAGTATACTCGGCCTTCGGTTAGTAGATGGATATCTCGACTAGACCATAAGTGATGCAAGTTGGCAAAGGCCAGTTGAGCCTTTTGTATCAATACCGAGATTTAGTCAGACAACAGGCCATCAGCACTGATGAGACTTCCAAGAGAAGTGATCTGTAAAACAACTTAGGATCTAGGCATGAATATGCATTGGTTCAAGTTGTCATATAACAAATTAGGACAGAGGAAAAAGGGAGATTAACAAGATAATGAAAAAGAATTGGAAATAACATTTAAAACACCATGACAGCACAAAACCATAACATTAGAAAATATCAGTAGGTGATATTCAACGACCTTAGTAGGAGTGACATTTTGAAAACTAGGGTGCACAAATCTATTTATAACAAAAATTTTTAAGCCTATATTAGGCTACAAAATTGAAGTAACTAGAAGAAAATCTTACATTTTTCACAACTACTTTTTCAGGCATTTGATGTCGATCATTGTGATATGGTTGACCGTTTTCGTCACGTCCTCGTTCAGATGATCTAGAATAACCTCCACGACCTGGGAGATTCGGTGATCCTGTGGATCTTACTAAAGAACCGCCAATGTTGTATGCATCTTGTCTACTAGTCCGAGAATCAATTCCATAATTACCTGATAAATGAAGATTATTATTATAATTAGTACAATCATTAACACTAATTAATTAATGAAGATTTCAATTTCAATATGCTTCAATCGTATAGATCATAACACACGCGCACACACACACACACACACACACGGAAAAACTTGACAAAATAAACAAATAACAACATCCATAAAAAATACATTTTGATTGTTGATGAAGTGAATTTACCATATCCTTATGTACAAAAAAATAATTACTTAAGAGAGAGAGAGGATGAGATCATGATACATATGCTACTAGGCAGAGCTAACAAGTCATCGTATCTAAATCAATGTGTGAGTAGAGGAATGAAAGAGATTCCACAATTTCATACTCTGTCAACCAAACCACATTTACTACACTAACAAAAACTCAGATTTCTACTTTGTTGTACAATTCGCGCTAGGCCAACTCATTGAAACGAACATGAATAAATTGAAAATGCGATAAAGCTAAATACTTTTTGATTGAATTACGACAACGATAATTAAACTATGATGCAAATATATATATATATATATATATATATATATATATATATATATATATATATATATTCATTCGGAAATACTACGTTAAAATGAAATACATGTATAACTACCATAAAGCTGGATAGACTTCGAACGTGAAAATGAACATTGGAAAACTCACCACATTATTTACTATTGAAAAAAACAATAATCCAAGAACTGCTGTCTAAAAGCCTAAAATGACAACAACGGAACTCGAACTATACTTTGAAAGACTTTGATTTATAATTATTAACAACTATAATCACCACATACATACCCCTGATGGTCATGAATCATGGTCAATAAATATATATATATATATATATATCAGTTAGGATTTGTTGTATTGAGAAACACATCAGTAGAGAATAACAGAGATTTACAAATCAACGAAATTGAACTAACTAAGACAGCATACAACAACACACACACACGCTTACACACATTCTAGCTCACCTGAATTTTCATACTTTGAACGACCAACATAGCCATTGTCAAAACGTGATCTATCAACGCTCCGGTCACCACCACCACCACCACCACCAACCCCACTACCACCATCTCGACCAATAATATTCGAAGCATTTAACTGACCAGACTGATCCGAATGAGAATTCTACACGCGTGTATATGGGGTATGTATAATATAATATGTGAAGAAGGTATGAGAAGAGTAAGACAACTGAACGAACACTAACGACACCAGGCACGCACGGTATAGGATGATTGTATATTCAAAAAATCATTTATTTGTGTTTGACAACATAATCCACACAGAATATTCTGTCTTCAATACAACCACTTTTAAATGACATGCAACTACTACTCGAAATATGCACTGATGATGATAATAAGTCTTAGAGATAATATAGACAAACTTAACAACAACGTAAACCTTTGAAATGAAAACCAAAACTTACTGAATAAATTTTTTGAATATTGTGAGGATAAGATGATTATATTCTAAGAAAGAAATGACGGGCAACTACACACAAATAAAAACAGATGGTAGTCCTCGATTTTTTCAAATTTTCTACTGAAGTCAGAAGGTTTTCAGAGAAGACTACAAAATGAACAATTCATTCTGTTCATGTAACAAACTGAAGTCTTGAGAAGAAACTTTAATCTAATCACTGTGGAATAACAGCCAATCCATTAAGAAATGAGTGTAGTGAATCATTTCTTTTCTTGAACAATTATGGAATAGTTTACTCTATCTGTCTACACCAAATATCTGCATGAATATTGAAAACACATGTCACTTTATATCTCCTTGAAAGAGTCCAACAAAACAGCCAGAATTATTTATCGCTCATTGAGACAAAAAATTTACTAGTCATCTATAGTTAGTAATCATTTAAAATTCTGATAACCAAACAAAAATAACACTCAAACAATTAATACGCACACAGATTAAATTCAATCATAGAACGCCAGAGAACCTAAATTACGAATGCGTAAATACTTTATCACTAAAAAAAATCAACTCCGAACAGACAAGAAATTAATGGTTTAATCTACAAATGAAAGTGTGTACAAAAATAAGAATCTACCTATGACTAAACTAATAAATTCTTCTATGAGCATGTAACGAAAATACGTAGGATGTCCAATAAATACGTACGTGAACGATAGTTATAAAAACGCTTGTAGAAATGAGTCCTCGTTAATCACCTTCAAAATATTCCCTATTTGTTGCACTGTACTTACAGTTGTCCGACTTTTATTTCTATTGTTTAGCAGATACCTAGAGATATTCAAAATTCAAGTCTATCAATCATGTTGTCTTACAACGATCCTAACGTTTCAACAGAGCTCCCCTAACACCACTCCATTACCAATCATCATTTTAGAAAAACGAGAACACAGACGGCTATCTGGTGAGCATAAAGCGTGGTGATCGGGCTATGGGTCAGTAAATAAGGAACAAGAAATACTGATGTATGGGCAAATTATTATATATTTATCGAACAAACCATGAACTCATAGTGAAACTAGGTAGATGAGTGGGGACAAGCTAACAAAGTCAGATTAACTCAAGGTTGTAAGCGTTTAAGAGAAGAAGACAGCAAGCAAACACATCTTCAACACTGTGAACAATTCTGAGCTGTATCACCTCAAGTTTCCTAACTGAAAAACTTTGTAACTCAGTTCGAGTGTTTGTTGGACAGACTGTGTACTCTCTTTTGAAAAAATTAGTAGATACGAACACATACCTGAAATAAACCAAGGGTCGATAATACAGAGGTTATTTGTGATTGAGACATTCCACCAGCGACAGCTGCTGAAATTAATTGTTGTAAGCCATCTTGAGGAATTTGACTTGAATAGGATCGATTTATTCCTGAACCTTAAACAAACATGTAAAATTACATAAGTGAAGAAGATTAGAAGAAAAGACAACAAAGATAGAACTCATTTTAAAAAAAACAATGTCATAGTTTCATAAAGTTGAAAAGTGGGAAGTAGGAATGACTATCCACTTTAGTACATATATACACCTTTGACGATGACATTGTAACACAACCAAAGAAAAACTTTTTGTAAATATGAATTTGTGCCAGTCAGTCATTATCAATTTGAAACATGGAACAGTCATGTTGGCACAAATTCGGATTTTCGAGACTATATATATGGCTAGATGGTATATTTAGATGGCATTTTCAGTTATCAAGATATTAAAGAACACTAGGCGGCACTGAGCGAACTAGTGGCGTCTTATTTTGTGACCACTTTAGACTCACGTAATGTTAGGGATATGAGGGCAGATATCCTTTCCTAGCTGCCTACAGAGTCAAAGGGCGTTTCTTGAGACACCTGTAGAGGAAGTTGGATTAGCGATGAACTTGGCGACTTGTGAATGTAACTGCAGAGCCCAAGGGACAACTGCTTGAAGTCAGACAGACACGGCCTTTTCATCGAAAGTCGTTGAAGTGTTAACTCAGCTCTTCAAAAGGCCTCATCACCGGAAACGGATATCTATGGGGTAAGGTGAGGCATGACATTTTTAGAGTTGATCGTTTCTAACCCCTTCCTTGTGTTGTGAGAAGGCAGCATCACTACAGATGCTGGTTGTCCGAGGAGAACACCCTACGTCAAGGTAGCAGCTACGGTCTCGAATTCTAATCTTCTGAGTTCCTCACTTTTTTGCTTTTTAAATTGATCCCACTAGAATATACTTTTCGAGTCATTTTTGATCCCCCATCTCCACTACGTCTAACGCTTGTACTACCTCAACTACTATGGGATTTGAACGGAACTTTCTGTGCTAATATGGTATGGCAAATGGTACTGATGTACGTTCGTGCGAAGTTCTACACTGTAGCAGACTGAATGGTATCTTACGTTGATTAAGACGGAAAACGAACCTAATCGATGTGCATGTGAGCTCAGACTATATGGAAATAATAGGACAAGAATGATTTTTCTTTTAACCCCGCATATACTGATTTTGATAGACTTAAATGCAATACAATACTGCTAAAGTGTGAACTTGATACAAATTAATTGGGACCTTAAACTTTATCTCAGTTCTATATAATAAAATATAGAACCAATAGATAATGGTCAGAAACAACAGAGAATTATAGTTCACAAGATTCATACCTGGTGAAGAATCTGGAAGTGACTGACCAATAAAGTTTGAAGAGTTATTAGATAGTCCAGTATTCAAACCGCCAGAAAGATTTGTATTCGATGACAAATTACGAAGAACTTCAATTATGCTACTTTGAGGATTTGAATCTACATTTGTTTTCAAACCAAGTAAGGTCATAAGGGCAGCAATAACATTTGATGGTTGTTGTTGACCAGCTAGCATAGGATTGGAAGGGATCATTGCACCGGTGGAACCCAGAATTCCAGATGAACCGGTTCTTTGTGATGCAGGATAGAATACGTTCGTCGAAGCAGGAGTACCCTGACGATCAATCTTCACACGCATTGGCCTGTCTTTTAATATCTGGTACAAAAAAAGATGACTAGAATGAATAAAATTGGCTTAAGAGGTTAAGATTTAATCCGTTCATAAACCACGAGGCATTTGAAAATAAATCTAACACATATTTTGGGAATTAAGGATGAAAGAAACAAAATCATAATTAAATATCCATAAGTATTTTATCAGTGATGAGATGAATAGTAATAATAAAGCTGAAAGTGGTACTTATTATCATACTTTAAGACATGATGTTAATCGAAGGCCAACAGGAGTGTAGTACTAGGTATGGCTTGCAGGATTAAATCAACCAAGACCTCGTGTTGACCGCCATGGGTATCGTCACAAAGTATAGACAGTCCATCAATATTAGACATGACACTACATCGGCCTAGTCTGGAGAGCGTGGTCTAGAGATACACATACATCACTACGACCTAGGTCCCGGTTGAAAGCCTTTGAAATTCTCCCCATTACATTTACATCAGTCAACTACAAAAGACGAAACCACTATTATCTATACTCTGATGCTGAGGCTTATGGCACTGCTCTATACCATTTACAATTATTCAAACATAAGAGTGAGTGCAAACAAGCAGCTTAACGATTGGAAGTCACTTGTCTGAAATACCATCACCACCCCGATATATCAGATGCAGATGATTAACAGATTCAATTTTAATACTCGGTTATAAATTTTATATTGATCACTAATCCCGGCCAGTCGTTGGACGACGGAACTTACACCTGATCCAAAGCTTCACTCGAGAACTTGGAATTGTCTACAAACATCATACTTCTTCTGCAAAACATAGTTACAGTTGCTCATTTAATTCCAAGGACAGACAAAATACAAACACATACCTGGTTATTAAACATATTAACGGCTTGGACAGCTTCATAAGCATTCGAAAATTTTAATATTCCAACGCCACGAGAATTTCCTTCTGAATCTGTTTTGATAACCGAACTGACAATTTTTCCAGCTGCTTTGAATACATCTTTGAGTTTCTGCCATGTTACGCTATAGTCAAGCTAAAAGTGATATGATTTTGGGAAGGCGCAACCTACATTGCTGACGTAAACAGAATCAGTAACCGGACCATCTATGCCGACCTGACCTAACATCTGGGGATTGAAAACAGGCCCCGATGCTGCCATGTTTACAGACTCGTTAGGATTGATGGAATCACTTAGAAGCCCTCCGTCAACTTCCATTGATGCTAAGCGAGCAGCATCACGAGCTGTCTCCTGCCGAACAACCAACTTTCTGTCGCCAACTTCAAATCTATGCATTATTTCAATAGCTTTTTGTGCCCCTTCGAGTGTCTTAAACTCCATCAAACTTCAAAGAAATAAGGATGGATTAGACATGACTTACCCCATCCCGTTAGGTTTGCCATTTTTCTTAAACAACTGTAAAAACCCAGTAAACCCGACTACTTAATAATTTGAAAGTATTCTGAATTACTTTGTTCTCTAAACAGCTCCTTTAACTTTTGCCAATTTAAATCATATGGGATGTTTGCAATAACTACACGTTTTGAGGTGACTCGAGTCCGCTGAGGAGAACGACTTCTTGATCTCCTCTTACTAGGTGAGCGAAGCCTCGTAGAAGACTTCTCGTCTTGACTTCTAAGTTCAACATATTAATAAACCAAAAACGAACCTTTCACTTGAAAAAGTACTCATTGGTAACAACAAGAGCCACAGCGAGCAAGAAAGTAAAACCAAATTGACCGCCTTATTGTTTTGGCAACCTAAAATAAATGCAATACTTCGTGTCACGCCTTTGTAGGGTAATATAATTATATAATATAAGTACGTCTAGTCGTTATATAACTTTGATAAAACATTGAAAACAGATAAAAAATCCCAAGATATTGGACTCTGGTCCTATGTAGATTAGTTCAGAAAAGTCTGAATCTGAAACTGCAACGTAAAAGAGAACCAAAGAAGACTCTTTTCGCGAGAATTTAGTTTGTAGGAGGTTCGGTAGCAAGAATTCTTTAAAACAGACTATTTAAATCTCCAAGAAAAACATTCCATTTTGGCTGGATTTCGAATTAGCTTTTCTTGTCACCCTTGATTCACAGTTGTGTGAATGATAAGCTTCTGCTCTGGACCAAATCAGTGTGTATCTATCGGTATGTCTGTTTGCGAGGGGCATATTTTATTGGTTTCACAAAGTGGGAATCTCTGAACAATGCCCTACCCGGCTTTCTAAAGATTATTAAGTCCCCATAATTCCGAAGAACTGTTGAAATACTTGTGTGGTCTGATGGTCTGCTCTCCCAGTCATGGATCGATCACTAAGATAACGTCTGAAATCTTCACGCATCGAAGTCTAGGTGTTCTTGGCGCGAGTGGTTTAATCGTCTGTCAGTACGTACTTATTCGTACAAAATAGTTAAATTTTTGTCTACGTCATTCTAGCAACACAATTCAACTTACGACGTATCTAGTGCTGGCATGCTGTATCTAGTACGAATAACCGTTAGCCCTTATTTAAAGTGTCTTACAATCGCTAACAACTTTTACTATGCTCCAGTAACCCACTTGAATACGTTTATCTAACTGATGCTATCCATAGATAGTACTGGTGATAGAAAATAGTGGTTGGTTATTTACCTATACATACTGGTGAATAGTTTCACAGGTGTTTGGTGTTACAGATATTTATCCACCCTTTCGAATACCGGTGGTCGTCAGTTGTTAATTTTTGATGAATGCATGTCCTAATAAGGACGATCACGCGTTCCTAATCTGAGTTACGTTGACACCTTGTAGGATAGTCCAGACTAGGTATATGGAGCCTAGAGCAGGAAACACGTAGTCAGATAAATGGATTATCTTTCTTCCTGAGCACAATTCCAAAAATACACTGTGTATATATGTCATATCAGTATAAAAATAGAGAAAACAAAAGTCGGATAATCGCTTATCATTGAGTCAGTGACAATACTGGTGTTAAAAATAATATTTGGAGAAAGATATATTTTTACGCGTCTTTTCAAATCCATATTTTATTAATTGCAAAATGAACTGTTTTTAGTCAACCGATTATTCTTTTCATGGTTTGTTGAGAAAAGACATTACTAATTTCTGACAAGATCTCACTGTTCACTCTAAATTCTTTAAACTCATTCATGGAGAGAAGTATAACCATAAAGTCAAAGACTCCGTGTTCGAAGGTATAAGAATAAGCTTACAATTTCAGTAGTAGGTAATATTTTCTTACATGTAGTATGTAGCAAAAGTCTCCTGAAGTTATTACAATCGATAACCAATGGAAAAGTCTCAAAGGTTAGAAAACCACGGCCTACTCAGAATACTTTACTGACCGAAAAAGTAGTAGAAAGTCAAGAACAAACTTGAATTGCATAACAAACAACCAGGTCTGAACGTATGACTTGGGGGCTAGGTGCATGAGAAAGAACCTTCTACTTGCCCGATGGTCATGGGAATGGTAAAGACTAATAGTAGATGATCACTGGCAAATTGTGAGAGACATTATCCACAATGTCGTCCCAAACAATGTACCTCAGGCACACCACACACCGGAAAAGTGAAGAGCTTCGGTGAAGAGAGGCACTGAACGCCTACTACAAGTGAACA